TTTTGCTTTACTAATTTGTGTTTATTTTATTTACTTTTTATTTTAAAGAGGAAAAAATTAAAAAAATTTCAAAACACAACAGTTGATGAACATTTAAGTTGTTTCCAAGATCTGGCTATTACAAATGCTATAAACATGGGTGCACATATATCACTGTGGTGTGATGTTTTCAGTTCTTCTGGGAAGATGCCCAGAAGGGGAATACCTTAGTCGAATGGGACCTCTAGTCCTAGTTTTCTGAGGAATCTCCACACTGATTTCCACAGTGGTTGTCAGGTCTACACTCCCACTAACGGTGGATAAGGGTTCCTATTCCCCAAGCCCCTCCAGCATTTGTTATTGGTGGATCTCTTGATACTAGCCATTCTTTCCAGGGTGAGGTGGAATCTCAGTGTTGTTTTAATTTGCATCTCTCCAATGACCAGTGATATTAAACATTTTTTCACGTATTTATTTGCTGATTGTATTTCTTCATCTGTGAAGTCTGTGTTCATCTCTGATGCCCATTTTTGAGTTGAGTCTTAGGGTTTATCATTTCCTTCCTCATACGAGCTTAGCCTGCTGGTCTCTTTCTAGAAGTTTGAGGTTTGCCAGTAAGTTTTTTTTTTAATTTTTATTTAAAGAAAGATTAAACAAAACAGAAAATAGGTAGAAATAGTACATATGCTCAGAGAAAAAAAACAGTAAGAAATCACTAGTTGATGTCGTTTTACAAATAGTTGTTCAAGGTACAGAAATGGAACATGTAAAGTGGAAATTCAAAGACAGACTGCAAAAAGTTCTAATCAACTGTCCAACAAAAACTTGGTAACATGGTTGTCAATCCTATACATTTAAACACAAATGCAGTTATCCATATCTTCATTTATGCTTAGATTAAACAAACTAAAGCAGGTTAAAATTATTCTGAACAAAGAATAATAGTATTGCTGGATTTCATATCATTACACTCCGTGATCAGAACTGGATACTATAGTGTCTTCTTTTGAAAACTGAATTTAAAGAAAGACTAAAAAAACAGAAAGTGGGTAGAAATAATACATAATTTCAAAGAAAAAATAAATGTTAAGAAATCACTAGCTGATGATTACAGATTGTCTTCTTATAAACAGTTATTGAAGATACTAAAGTGGAGCATATAAAGTGGGGATTCAAACAGCGAGACTGCAAACAGTTCAACTATCCAACAAAAACTTAGAAATATGGTTATCAATCCTATACACTTAAACATACATGCAGTTACCCATATCTTCAATTATGTTGACTTTGAATAAACCCAAGCAGGTTACTATCACTCTGAACAAAGAATAACACTATTGCTGGGTTTCACATTATGACACTCCAGGATCAGCACACCAGTAAGTTGTTTATGTGCCCTTGCTGTTTTCCTGATGTGGACATTTACTGTTATAAATTTCCCTCTTAGGATGACTTTCACTGTGTCCCACAAGTTCCAGTATATTGTATTGTCATTATCACTGAACTGTAAAAACTGTCTAATTTCTTCCTTGATTTTATCTGTGACCCATTGGTTGTTCAAAAGGATGGTATTTAATTTCCATGTTTATGAAGTTCTTATAGTATTTTTTTTTGTCATGGCTTTTCAATTTCACTGCAGTGTGGTCTGACAGTATGCATGGGATAATTTCAGTCCCTTTGCAGTTACTTAAGTGTGTGCTATGAGCCAGTATATGGTCTATTTTGGAGAACATGCTGAGTACAGCTGAGAAGAATGTGTATTCTGATGCTGTGGAGTGGAACACTTTTAACATCTACTAGGTCTAATTGTTCAAAAGTTCGTTTCAGTCCTAACGTTTCATTATTGATTTTTGTCTAGCTGATGTGGCTTTTAGTGACAGTGGGGTATTGAGGTCTCTCAATACAATTGTATTAGGGCTTATTTGATTTTTCATGTCCATTAGTAATTGTTTCATATAGCTGGCTGTACTGGTATTTGTTGCGTATGTATTTATGAATGTTATCTCTCCCTCTTGGATTGTTCCCTTTACCAGGATGTAGTGACCTTTTATCTCTCTGAATCAGTCTTAGCTTGAAATTCACTTTGTCTGCAAATAGAACAGCTACCCCTGCTTTTTCTGGGTTCTTGTTGCATGGAGTATTGTTTTCCATCCTTTGACTTTCAGTCTATGAATTTCTATTTAAATTAAACGTTTCTTGTATGTAGCATACTGTTGATTCTTGCTTCTTGATCCATTTCGCCAGTCTGTGTCATCTGATTGGTGAGTTGAGACCATTAGCATTGATGGTTATAATTGGTATGTATTCACTTGTCTTTGTCATGGTTTTTCCTGTTGTTGGGTCCCTCGAGCCTTTTTTCCCTTCCCTCTAATTGTTTGCCCTGCCTGGTGGATTCTCTCTGTTGGGGCTCATGGAGATGTGGTCCTTATTATCTCTTCCTAGAATGTCCTTCAGAACATTGTGAAGTGCTGGTTTGGTGTTTATAGATTTCCTCAGCTATTCTTTGCCATGAAATATCTTACATCTCCATGAGTTTTGAAAGATAACTTAGTGGGGTGCATCAATCTCAGCCGAAGGTTATTTTCCTTTGGAGTTTGGAGTGAAGTACTCCAAGTACTCTTCTTGACTTGAGAGTTTACTGAGAAGTCAGTTGTGATTCTGAAGGACTTTCCTTTGTAGGTGATTTGTTTCTTTTCTCTAACAGCTTTTAAGATTCTATTGTGCTGAATCGCTGGAATCTTGACTATGATACACCTGGATATAGACTTTTTTTGTCCATGGCTAATTGGAGTTCTGTATGCCTATTTATCTTATGTCAAAGTCTTCTTCTGCAGCCGGAAAGTTTTCTGTCATGATATCTGTGAACATTTTCTTGATGTCGTTTGTGGTATCTCCTGCTTCCTTATTGGCTCCAGTTAATCTTGTTACTTTTCTTTGCTTTCCCTAGTAGCGTCTGGTTGATTTCTAATGGCTCCTGGCTGCTTTTGAGGAATCTTTCTTTTCCTGGCCACCAACTGCAAGCCTATGTTCAGTAGCTGAGTCCCTACCTTCACATTGGCCTGCATTGAATACTTTCAATGCAGTGTTTATTCTCCTGGGTATCTGCCTGAACCTGATTATGGATTTCATTTCTTTCTTATGCTTTCAAAGTTTTCTTAAGCTCTTCTATTTTTTTGTCTGTATCTGCTCTAACATCACTAGCATGGGTCTTATTTTGGATATCATCTCTGTAGTTATCTCTCTGTAGAGATTATTTCTGATTTCATTTTTTTCAGAGTCAATTCATTTTGTCATTACTGCTTCAGAGAGGCCTGGTGGGAGGCTTTTGAACCATCTCACTTTCCTGCCCCCTGGATTTGCCTTTGGCAAACCCCATGTCTGGGGTTGCATGGTTTTTTTAGAGTATCTTTTCCTTCTTTCTTTTTTCTTTTGGGATGATGCTTGTATGCTGCCTATGGTGGGTTGCTTTATTGCTAGTATTTAAGACTCTTAGGTGATGACTAATCCTCTGAGGTTTCTTCCAGGTGTAGCTGTTTTTTGGGTTTTCAGTCTGTTGGAAGATCTCAGTGCTTCAGTCTGTTGGAGATGGGAAGCTGTTTGGCACAGCCCCTGGTTTTGTGGCACTGTGTCACAGTATTTTCTGTGACCCTTAGTCATTCTCAGTCATGGAATACAAGACCAACAGCTGTTTAGAACAGTCATGCCAATTTGGGCTGTAGTGTTACCAATGACATCAAATTCAGGTTAGAAAGGGACAGACTAAGTTACTCCTCCATTTGCCACTTTTAACCATAGAACCTAGATTTGTGGTTATGTAAGAAAATCTAAAACAAACAGGAAATTACATGCAGTATACAGTGACATGTCCATTGAGAGGCCCATTTTGCCCTTGGGGTTAAAATTTAATATAGTTTAAGGAGAAAATACAGAATCAGAAAAAGAGGAGATTAGAAGTAAGGCTGGAGGACCACGGAGGATCACGCTGACTTTGGGAAGCGGGTGCAGAAGATGGGAAGGAGAGAGAAGAAGAAATGAAGAGAACTGAGCCACAGGGAGGCCGGCACCACCGTCACACTTACACAACAAGAAGATCAAGCAATTCAGGAGAAAGAAGGAAAAGGAAAAACAGGAAAACAAAAACTACAAACCAAAGATGAACATGAGAGAGATAAGGGAGAAGACAGGCCAAAGAAAAAAGTCTGCTTCCAGGTTAGCCAGGTTTGTCTCTGCTTTCTTTGCCCAGCAGGCAACCTGCGGAGACAGAGTCCCGACCTGACCGTGTGGCTCTCTGGCAGCCACAGCTTTCTGGCGGGTAGTGGGCACTCTGGGAGCCTGCACTTCCGGTGGAGACCCGACAGTCCTACCTTGTTCCCAGCACCACCCCCAGGACTCAGGCCTCCTGGGAGCCACTAGAAGGAGCCAGCGCAGTTCTGAATTCTGATCTTCCTACCTGCCTCCAAGACGGCTCCAGGCCAATGGCTGTCCACCGTGGCAAGAGGGAGACCCTTGCCCTCACCACCACTCAGTGTGGCCCTGAGGTCCACTGTTCCCCTCCACTTCCCTGTTTCTCTGTGGTGGCTTCCAGGGTCGCCAGTGTCACCGTTGTCATGACTGTTCCTCTCGAGTGGCAGCCCCGTCTCAGGGTGAAGGCGCCATCTCCTTCATTGAAGTTTCTCTCTTCTCCCAGGCCTGTGCTTCGTGCTCCAGACTTCCTGGGCCCAGGGCCCCCACTTCCTTCTGCATCTTCCTCATCGTGCTATTTTCCAGCATCCAGATGGCGACTCTCAAAGAGGCTGTGGTCTCTGCTGCTAATGGCTCTGCCATCGTCCCAGACTCTTGTGTTTATCTGTGAAAAATAACCTGTGATTTTGTGCCACAGTCTTAATGTAGGCACGTGAGGTAGAAGTTTTATCCTTCTCCTGGACTTGGTGCTGGTCTCTTTACAGTACAAACGGACACAGCTGGGACCAGACACTAAGAGTAAGGGCAGCGCCGCAGAGCTGTGAAAAAAACACCTGGCAATGGCAGAAATGTGAGCTCTCGGTGAGGAAAGGTCTGTGTTAGGAGATGAATGGATGGAGGAGAGAGCTCCTTACTGCCAGCTCTCCATAAACGGGAGTGATGGGACTTGAAGGAAGAAATAAAACCAGCATAGCTCCAACAGTGATGATTATGATAATCTTATGGGTGGTGTTGGCACTGTTGACCCACATCCAACAAGAGAGCCTTTAATCAAAGAGCATGAAAAAAATATTATCATAAAACACATATGTGCCTTCTGATCAAACAACATGGAACTCACTTGTTATTTACTCAAAACAAGGTGGGGATGAGAAGTCTCAATTTCTGAGGTCTCATGAACCAGAAGCTTGAAAAACACAGGATAGCACAACGCAACCAGATGTCTTCACCTTGATGTTATGTTTGGCGGGAGACAGTGTATCTAAATTCTGCCACCCACCCAGGAGGAGGAGGAGACACCAGACAGTAATGCAGGGAATTCGGAGAGAGGCTGCATTCTGTTGTCCGGGTGGGCACGTTGTGCTGTGTTGAATGTTTTCAGATGTAAAATCAGACCCACAAAAAGCATTGACTAAATTTGATAAAATTGTCATTTTAGTATTTCCTGTGATATAACCTTATAAAATTAATTAAAAATGTAATTTTTGGTCATCGAGTATTTAAATAATTGAACTGGTAAGTGGTTCATAATAAGATGAAAAGGAGCCTCATGCACCTGCACGGGTTGCAAGAAGAACGTCTGAATTACTGCCTGCAGAGTACCTAATGTCTGCGTTGCCGGCCTGTGGACCTGGTGGCCACTGCAGCCTCGAGGACACTGAAGGCAGGGCCTGCCCGGCAGGGCCAGGCGCAGGGCTCCCTCTGCTGGACGCCGTGACGCCGCGCGCGGGTGGCCCTTGGGCTCAAGTTCAGCCAGGCGCCAGCAATGGGCACCCCGGGCCCTGGTCCAGAGCCCGGGGGCGACCTCGCAGCAGACCTGCGGTGGAGCCCAGCTGCCTGGTTACATCCAAGGACCCCAGGGCGCTGGGTACCAAGGCTGGGGAAGGAAGGGCTCCCGCACTCCTCCCTTATGTGGGCAACCCAAATCCTACCCGTGGTGCGCGCGGACCTCCCACCCCCGCCGCCGCGCTCAGGAGCTTTGCATCCCATTTCCTCGGTTTCTGAAAAGCCAAGATGAAAACGCCACGCAACAGACACGTTCTATCCGCTTCGCCCACAGAGGACAGAAGGGAGAAAGTTCAAGCAGCCCTCTGCCCGCCACGCTGGGCGCTCAGGGGAGCAGCCCCAGGAGAGGGCGCCGCGTGGCTCCAGTTCGGAGACAGAGGCTGGGGACAGTCCTCCGCCAGCGCCAGCCGGGCCTCCCGCTGCCCACACGCCCCGAGTGGGCGACGGCGGGGAAGCAGCAGAACCGACGTCCCCGCCGCCGGGACGCGCGTGTGCGCACCGGCTCGATGCGCGGAGACGGAGTCACTCAGGAGACGCGCGGCGGCGGGGCCTCGGACAGACCCAGCTGGGCGCGCGTGGACGGCGGACTGCGAGCGCGGGGTGCTGCCTCGCGGCACTGCCTGGACCCACGCTCAGAAGTGGGGGTTTCTAATCCGATCCTGGGGTGGGCCCGGCAGAACCCCGAGCGGGCTGGAGTGAGCGTGACCGTCGCGCCCGGCGACAGAGGTGTTACACACGGTGACGAGGTTAGAGGGGAACCCCGACCCCGCGCTCAGCCCGCAGCCCCGGGATTAGTGATTTAACCCCAGCCGGCGGCGGGCGAACCCGGGGGGGGGGGGCTCGGGGCCAGGGCTCCTGAGAGCTTCGCGGTGTCCGCGGGGCCGCGGTGGGGGCGCAGGTGACAGGGACCGGCTTGGACGGCGCCGCGTGGTCTGCGTAGACCCCGCTCCGGCCCCTCCAGCCGTCCTGCGTCCCTCCCCTCCCCCCGCTGTGTGGCGATCTCATCCCCGGGGGCCATCGGGCCTGGATCTCTGTCCTCCCTGGCCCCTGCCGCCCGGCCCGGCTCTGCTCAGTCTTGTGACCTCCCCTCAAGGCACGCGGCCCAGGGCAGCCGGACTCCCCAGCCCTGCGGGGGGCCCAGAGCCCGACCTTGGGTCCCCGAGGCTGGCGGGGCTCTGCCGGGGCCGCAGCGCCCCTGGTGGCCGGGAGGCGCCGTCTCCCTGTGGCTCTGAGGGGCCGCTCATGCACCTGGAGCCCAGCACGCAGAGGAAATGAGAAGCCCAGTCCTGAACTCTTCCCAGAGACGTAGGGGCCAAATTATGAAGCGATGCTCGTAGCAGGGCGCTGTGGTCTGGACCCGGAACGTCCCAAGAGCTCTGGGGTGGACATCTTGGTCTCCAGGTCGCCGGGCTGGAAGGCCTGGGCCACAGGGCTCTGGTCCATCCAGCATCTCTGCCATTGTTGGGCGTGGAACTGAGGCGGAGACCTTGCAGGTCGAGGCCTTGGGGACTCTGCCTGGCCTCCGTCCCCTCACCCCCTTTGCTTCCCATCCTCCAGGAGGCGAGCGCTGCCCTCCACCGCACCCTTCTGCCCTGGGGTCTGCTGGAAGCCTGGGACAGGGACTGGCACAAGGGCCAAAGAGCCCTCTCTGCGCGGGGGACTTCCCTCCGTGTTTTGTCCCGGTGATAGGAAGGGACCAGCAAGGGCAAGGTGTCCACATTGGGGACAGGGAAGGTCTCACTGTGCCGCCTGGCCTGGGCCAGACACCTGGACAACAGCAGGGGCAGAATGGGACATGGCCAGGACCAGGACCGGGCTGCTTCTCTGTGAGAAAGAGAAACCGTGGGTTGGAGACGTGGTTTGGATTCTATTAGAGAAACAGGGCAGGGTACATGCAAACTCAGGAAAGCTACAGCCATGGGCAGCGAAACACAAGGACTCAGGCAGAGAGAGAGAGAGAGAGAGAGAGAGAGAGAGAGAGAGAGAGAGAGAGAGAGACAGAGAGTGATAGACAAAGAGAGACCTGTGGTTCCTGCAGCACCCAGCACAGCACCCTGGGCTGGGGAGGACAGGGTGGCCCAGGCGACTGCGGGGTGTGCCTGGGGCCCGTGCACAGATGCCAAGTGCTGGGACCTGGAGAGCTGGCTGTTACTGACAGTGTCACTCTGGGTGTGACTCTGCTTCAGCCAGGGACACCCTCAGGCCCAGGACTCTCAGAGGGAATGTGGATTTTACCGAGGTGACTGCCCCGCCTCCCTGAATTCTCTTCCCCTCCCCTCCTCTCCCTTGCTCTCTCTTCTTTCCTTTTTCTTCCCTTTCTTTCTCTTCCACTTTTTCCTTTGTGTAGATGTTTACCAGCGTGCAGGGGATGTGCCGCTCATCTGGCTTCCTAAACCAGCGAGCGAGGTGTTCAATTCACAGAGCATTGTGGCTTCCTTTCTGTGACTTCCTTTCCAAGGCTTTCTTTCTGTGGCTACACACAGCAATGCACCTCGCTCTTCCAGTGGCCGCGTGGCCTTTGTGCTGCAGAGGTGTGGGGATGTCCCCACCCTCCATCTGAGACCTCTCCACAGCTATGCTTTAGGGAGACCTTGCTGTCCTTGTCTCGATCTGGGAAGTTTAGATTTGTGATCCCATGGAGAAGTCACGGGGATTCTAGTGAATTAATTTCAATCTACCACTTCCAGTGCCACTCATGGCGAGAATAAAGACACTGAGACATATTTGTAGTGATGGGGAGCCAGGGGGTTCTAAATCCAGCGAGGATGAAGGTTCACTGGAACAAAGGCCTCGGCCCAGGGCCTAACCCGAAGTGCATTAATTCGTGTAGAAGGGGATGGCCGGAGGACGAGTGACCGTGAGGATGGTGGCAGACCTGAGTGCTGTGAGTTGGGCTGGCAGGAGCCCGAGAGCGCCTCTGCAGTGTGCAGGGAGAAGGAGGTGCAGGAGGACTAAGCTGCATGATACGACTAAGGTGGTGGTTACTATTTTGGGGGCTGGCACTCTGGCGTGCAAACGTTTCTGCCCTGGGCAGCTATGGCCTCTTGTCTTGAGTCTGGGGCCCAGAACCCAGCCGACAGCAGTGGCTTTTCATCCCCTTGGCTCAACCGTGTTTTGGGAGTCACAGGGAGGGGAACCAGTCACTCACCTAGCTTCAAAGGCTGCACCTCAGCACCTCAGTCAGCCCTATGTACATTGCTACAGCTGGCTGCAGGGAGAAGGAAATGGCCCCGGCAGCTCTGTGCACATCAGCACAGAGGCAGGGCCAGGGTTAGCCAAGGTGGATGTACTCCATTTGCATTCAAGGAGAGCCGTCCCGGTGGCCTGGTGTCTGTAGTGTTGATGTCCCCGCCTGGAAGGAGGACCCTGTGGCCAGGGCAAGGGCTCCCAACGTTTCACAGCCTTGTGTGAGTTCAAAGCCAGATTGGACTACACAGCGAGACCCTGTCTCAAAATGACAGTGGAAAATGTAATAAATGAAAGGGTCCAAGGCAAGATGAGCTGTGCGTTGAAAGGGGCCGAGGTGAAGCAGCACCTCGACGCCATCTGCTGGCTGTCTCCTGTCCCGTGTCGGCAGCATCCCTGGGTTTCTCCACCCGGTGGGACAGATGACACTGTTCCTAGTTTTGCTCCTGTTCCTTGCTGTTTTGCTGTACACAAACACTGTCATCATCAGCACCTGCATTCCTGTAGCTTCAGCTTTGTTTTGTTTTCTGAGACAGGGTCTTGGACTCACTGTGTAGCTAAGGCTGGCCTTGAGCTCACAGAAGCCCTCCTGCCTCAGCCTCCTGAGTGTTGGGATGACAGGCAGGTTCCACCACGCCCCACTAGCTTTGTGCAAACAGTTCCGTGGGGGCAGGTTCCAAGGAGGAAACACCTGCCTTTTAAAGGGAAGAGAGATGGAGACCAGTTTCCCAGGTAAACAGCAGCGTTGAGCACCTGCCTGGTGCACCTCACGCCAGGCTGCCTTCATTTCCGCTTCCGCCCCAGGGTCTTTGTGGCCTTTGTTCAGTACCTGGACCTCAGATGCCCACGTGACCGACCGTGACCACGAGCATTTGGAAACGCCAGTCACTGTATCTGAGCATCACTGGCTTCATCAGGGGTGCAGCAGCCTCTCAGTCAGGGCATTGACAGCTCCCACACGCCGTCCTTGGGACGGGACAGTCCCCTGCAGTCTTGAGGTGACGGCTGCATGACCAGCCTGGGGCGGCATGAAAACTCGTCTCCAGGGACCATGTTTGGTAACACACACCGAGCCACACCCAGGGGTGACACAGAGTCTCCCACTGAGCTGAGGCCTTGGGAGAAGAGAGAACAATGGTGGCCCTTGAGTGGGTGGCCCCAGGAGAGGCTCCCCTGTCCCGTCCCCATCCCTGAAATTGGAGGCGTCCCTCCGGTATCTCTCGGGACCGTTTTGTGGGTCTCATAGTAGGAGGCGTTGCCTAGCAATGGAGAGGCAGTGACGTCACCCTATTCTGTCCCTGCCTGGTGATACTTAACCCGGTTGATAATTAGCACAAAGGCTGGATGTGGACAGCACCTGAAAGCTGCACGAAGCCACCTGCACCAGGGAGAGGACTGCCAGGGAGGCTTGGGCAGGACCTGAGTTTCATGTCCTCTGAAAGAAACTTGAACCCACAGATTCCTGGTGCGCAGATGCCTGGCAAAAGTGGAAACCCTCGGGCACCTCTGTGTTCACCAGTGGACGCTGAGGGCCAGTGCAGCTCGCCAGGACTGTGACTGCTGCTGAAAACTGACCCATGGGCAGCCAGGGAAGTGTGGGCTCCTTGGCGCCCTCTGCAGAAGCTCACATGATTCACACCCCGGGCAGCGGGACTGGGACTCAGATAACTAGCCCAGGCCCCCACGTCCCGGAAACTTGGGAACCTGTGGGACACTTGGGATGACACCTGGCCTCCCACCGTCCAGTGCAAGACAGGGGACGAAGGAAATGATACTGGCTCATGAAAGGCTCTGGGGAGCTCTTGTTTTATTTCATACAACTTTCTTATTTTGAGACAGGATCTCACTATGCTGTTCAGCCTGGCCTTGAACTCATAAGTAGCCCAGGTTGGCCTTGAACTGACAGAGATCCCCCTGACTCAGCTTCCTGAGTGCTAGGGTTACAGGCATGTGCTCGCACACGCAGCTCGGGGTGCTTTTTCAGAGCTCATGGCAGAAGGAAGAAGAAAAAGAAGAAGAAGAAGAAGAAGAAGAAGAAGAAGAAGAAGAAGAAGAAGAAGAAGAAGAAGAAGAAGAAGAAGAGGAAGAGGAAGAAAAGAGGGAGGGAGGGAGAGAGAGAGAGAGAGAGAGAGAGAGAGAGAGAGAGAGAGAGATACGTTGTGATTGCCCAGGATGAAGGGAAGCCCAGAGTTTTACCAGCCCCGTGAAAGTGAGGGGTTGCTGTCCCCCCGAGCGACCCTCCTGAGGCCCGAGGCATCTCCCCAACTCTTTCCCTGCCACATGTGTTGGAGGTGAATGCTAGTGATCTCTCCACCTGCTCTTGGCTATGCCTCCAGCCCTGTGCTCGCTTGCCCCTCAGCAGCCGGGCCAGTGTTGCAGCCCAGGAGCAAAGTGGCCCCACAGTGCCCTCACCAGGAAGGCAGGGCCCCTGTCCCTCCCAGCCCCGGCCCTGTGAGCTGGAAATTCTGTTTGACCCAGCTGTTCCCCGTCTAGGTATCGTCCTAAGAGACCTGAGGACATCACATCTGGCTCGTGATAGTCTGGGTGTTCCATGTGAGGGAAGCTGTGTGCCATTTGAGGATCTGACTTATTTCCTTTAGACGGGGTCTCAGGGTGGACCCGTTCTCCTACAAAGGACTCAGGTTGTCCTTCTTCATGGCAGAGTAGTATTCCACACTGTGAATACCACACTGTCTTTGTCCCTTCATTTGTGGATGGACACATGGGCCACATCCCAGATGTGCTGTTATGAGCTGTGTGTGGGTCACTGTAACCTGAGGGCTTTCAATCTTCCGAGTGGAAGAGCTGGGTGAGATGGAATTTTTTTGGAGGCATCTGCCTTCCGATTTCCATAGCGGTTGGGTGGTTTTCATTCCCTCCAACAGTGTGGAAGGGTTCCCTTTGCAGCCTCACCAGCATTTTTGAAAGCTATTTCTCAGACAGATGCCCAACATTTAAAATCAATAAGGAATTCTAAAAATAACCCCCTCCCCAAATTAAAAAACCAATCAGAAAAGAGCAGACATGTCTCAGAAGTACAAATAAATATACACAGAAATGCAGATTTAAAGAACACTGAGATTCTACCTTGCCCCAGAAAGAATGGCCATCATCAAGAAATCAAATAATCCATATTGGTGAGGAAAAAAGTATCTTTTTTTTTTTTTTTTTTTTTTGGTACCAGGGATTGAACTCAGGGTCTTGTGCACGCCAGGCAAGTACTCCAGCCCTGAGCTGCATCCCAGCCCAGGAATCTTTATTTTACTTTTAGTTATTTTCTGTTTTTTTTTCAAGATAAGCTCTTGATAGGCAATTCAGGATGACTTTGAACTCACTATGGACTCTAGGCTGGCCTTGAACTGGTGGCAATCCTCCTGCCTCAGCTTCCCGCCTGCTGGGATGACAGGCATGTGCCACCATGTGTGGCTTTGTGTTTATTTGAAGGGGAATGGGGCTTTTCCTTTTCTGTCTTCTCAGGAGGATGAAGAGCCTGAAGAACAGCCATGGGCTGGGGCTTGGGCAGGGGCAGAGAGCTCGCCTCCCTCCCCTGGGCTGGGCTCCATTCCCAGCGCTGCACAGACTAGAAGTAAACATTAAAGCAAATGGAAAATTCTTAATAATCACTTCCAGCTCTGAGGTAACTAAGAAACAAAGAGTCCTCAAGAAAAAAGAAACAATAGGACTTAAAACAGGTCTAAAAACTTATTTTTAAATATCATCCTTTAGTTTGCCTAATAAATGAATAATAGGGTTGTTTTAGTCAATATTGTTTTGTTAATTTCCAGTGGCGGCCCGGGGATGTAGGTCAGCAGCATAACACCCGCCTGGCAGGCACGAGGTTGTGAGTTCAGTTCCTAGTACAAAAAAAAAAAAAAAAAAAAAAAAGAAAGAAAGAAAAGGAAAATATATATAAAATTTACGGTTCTGGAGATTCAACCTAGGACCTTTGCACTGAGCTGCATTTCTTGTCCATTTTTTAATTTCGTATTTTGACTCAGGGTTTCACTAAGTCAGTAGTGACCCAGGCTGGGCTCAAACTTGGCACCCTCATGCCTCAGCCTCCCGCCTGCTGCAGCCAGGCCCCACTAGGTAGCACTCTGAGATACTGGCCCTGATATTTCAGGGATAGAGTTAAGTGGTTTTCCAAGCCCTTGGAAATGACAAGGCTACGATTGCCTGCTTCGTTTGCCCTTGGTGAGAGCTGATCAGGGTCAGGCTGTAGGAATGTCCCCTGCCACTGAGAACGGCTCCAGAGGGCTGGATCAGACTGCAACCTCTGTGACTCTCACCTGATCAGCAGAGGGGTCAGTGGTCAGCCAGGGAGGCCGAGGGCAAGGACCACGGGCGATTTCCTCTCTTTTCAGGGGGACCTCTGTGTTCCACATCTTGCAGTTCTGTGTGTCTGTGTCTGTGTTGCAGGACATCTCAGTTTCTGTCTGACCTTTTGAGGTGGCCCCTACATGTCCCTGCATGCCCTGGCGTCCACCCCTGAGTATGGCGACCTGCTTCAGACCGACTGGACCAGGAGGGTGAGCAGGGACTGTGGACTGTCACCAGCTTCATGCTGTCTCCTGGAATCTCTTCTCCATCAGGGGGAAGGAAGCAGCTGGCTGCAGGGGAGCAGGGAACCAAGGTCACTTAGCGGGGGAATGACATGGTCACTGTGCAGCTGCCATAAGAGACAGCACTCTGGCCAGTGACAGTGAGGCACAGTGGCCCTGTGAGCCCCACAGGATTAGTCATCACACAGCATTAAAAAGCTCACCAGAGAGCCAGGCATGGTGGTGCACACCTGCCATCCCAGCCCTTGGAAGGCTGAGGTAGGAGAATCATTGCAAATTTGAGACCAACCTGAACTGCATAGTGAGACCCTGTTTCAAAAAACAGAAAAACAAACAAACAATCAGCCAGGGCAATTTAGTGAAACACTGTCTCAAAATAAAATAAAGATCGTGCCTGGTACCCGGGAACCGCACGGTGTGGACGTTCCCGCTGGGCCTTCACAGAAAGGGTCCTGACCCAGCCTGACGTAAGGAGCCGGGGGGCTTTGTGCTCAGGGAGCGGGGCCAGCAGCACACAGACAGAACCATCAAGGGACCTGAGTTGCCAAGCAGAGAGAAGAATGCTGGGCGCCTGGCTGGGACAGCGAGTGACAGCTGAGGGCTGGAAACGGGAAGCTTGGCCCTGAAAGCTGAGAGACCCCGGGGCCGAGCGACCCCGCAGGAGGAGCCACACACACAGGCCAGTGGGCTGCCTGGGCTGGGGGCTGAGAGACGGCTGTGGCCTGGGTGGCTCCCACACTGGGGTCCCACACAGCCACACGAGGCCCAGGCTGACACTGCTTTCACACAAGTTTTCCAGAGGCGAGCTGGAGAGGGGGCACATTCATCTCTGCCTTTCAGAAGTGACACTCGAGGCTGTTTCCCAAGGTCACTGTGCTGTCTCTGCCCTGAGCCCCAAAGCCACTGCCTCCCTGGTCCCTCGGAGGGCCGAGTGGGGTGGTGGAGGAGGCATGGCCCCTGGATCAGGATCTGTGGAGCTGGGGCCAGAATTCCCACGTGATCCCTGTTGCATTCCCTGGGGAGCAGGTGGCCATGCTGAGCGGTCACCGTGCCCACGCCCTCTTGGTTACCATGGAGCCGGGGGTGGCCGCGAGGGCCCATTCTGTGGCCTGGGCCTCTCTTCTTCCCCTGTGCCGCCCATACAGGAGCCCTGTGAAGGGCAGCACCACCGCCAGGAGGACAAACCCTGGCCTGCCCGTCCGTCTCCATAACAGGTATAAACCTGTCCGCTGTGGGGGCCCTGGCCATGGTCTCCTCTGTGTCGGGGACCATGCTGCTTTCCGGGTGGCTTCAAACAATAAAGGCTGATCTGGATCGAGGCTGCACAGGTCCAGGTCCAGCCAGTTCTACCAGTGACTCGTGTCCCGGGGGGGCCCGTGTGCCCGAGGCCCCCTTCCATACCCCAGCCACAGTCACGTCCCCCAGGGGCTGCCCAGCTCCTGCTCACGGCACTGGGAGGCTCAGCGAGTTCCCTGCCCTGACTTCGCTCTTCCCTGCTGGGTGCCACCTCGTGCCCCTGACCCAGGAGCCAGGCACAGCTGTGTTCCTCACAGGTGACCTGGGCTGGGGTTCTGTCACAGCCTCCCAGGAGAATGGGGACCCCTGGGAAGAACTGGCCCACCCTGGGGCATCAGGCAGAGGGGCCCTGGCAGACTCTGTCCTGTCCTGATCATAAGTGGTCTGGGTGCCTTTGCTGCCTCTGTGGGCCTCGTGGGGTTTCAGTCCCTCCTGTGACTCTGTGTGGGACAAGTGCTGATCATTTCTCTCCAGTCCGTGGCTGCAAGTCTGAGGTCCAGGCCAGCAGGGTCAAGCTCCAGGTCCTGGTCCCCATGAGGCACAGAAGTGACCGGGGTCTTGGGGTCCCTGTCCTAGGACGCTAACCCCACTTGATGGGGCTCTGTCTTCCAGATCCGTGGATGACCTCACAGGCCACTTCCCGCCAGCACCTCGGTTGGTCTGAAGAGACCCGGGGAGGGCACACCGAGGCCAGCCCCGAGCGAGCACCCCGTTCCTGCCGCTTCCAGCCACCTGCCTCTTCATTTCCAGCGCTAGACCTTTGGGTGACTTCCAGGTTTCAGCAGTTACGCAGAAGATACTATCGGTATTTACACACAAGTTTTTGTGGACACTGGTTTTTATTTATTTTAGGAAAATAGCTAAGAGTAGAGTTGCTGGATCTGGACTTGGTAAATATTTAACTTTATAAGACTCTTATAAGACTCCGCCAGAGTTTTCCAAGGTGCCTGTGGAATTTTACACTACCCGGAGGGGCCAGTGGCTCTATGGTGGCTGAGCTACTAATCTTATCAATTTCTGCTCATGCATCTGCTCGCAGAGGTTCCCACTCTCCGATCAGTACACAGAATTAAGAATTAAGATTAGTCGATTGCATAACAAACTCCTCTGGGGTTAATGTGAATTCCCACGCTGGCCTTGGTGCCAAGGCCCCCCCACCCCACCCCAGCTTTATGATCTTCAACCTTTGGGCCCAATTTCTCCCGAGATATTGGCCTTTCAAGCTTCATATTATTGCACTTTATCATCAGTTGTGGCGGGGTTTGATACGTTCAGGGCACAATTCCTTTTTCAGCTGCACACATACAAATGTTTTCCTCAGCCCAGCGCCTGTTGACTCTCTTGGTTATTTTTAATTTCGATCATGACTAGCACTGGCTCTCCGGCCTGAGCGTTCTTTGCCTTCTGGAGCAGAGGTGAAGCGATGTTATGTGGATGTCAGGCCCCACCCACTGTAAATTAATTCCTGCCCCTTGGTCGATTTTGCATCACCATTCAAATGCTTGACATTGTTAACAGAAATCAATTGACTGAGTCCAATGTCCTCTTCTGGTCTGTCAGTCTGTCTGTCTGTCCTTCAGCCCATACCACTTGGTCTTGTTTATTATAACCTTAGGGTCAGTCAGGTTTTCCTATTCTAGTCATATTGAATTTCCATGTGAATTTCCGAATCAGTTTGAAAATGTGTACAAGGAAAGGCCCGGTGGGATTCTGCCTGCATTTGTGTTTAATCTGTAGACAGATTTGGGTGCAATATGTACTAGTATTTTCCAATTAATCTTCTGACTTCAACCTGCTAGATCTCTTCTACTTGGATCTTTTTACATTTTTAAGTATTGATTTATAATTTTCAATGCAAAAATTTTATAGATATTTTTATTCACTTATCTCCCTAGGCCTAATCTTTTGATGTTGCTTTAGACACAATTTTTAAAGTTTTTAGAAGGGTGTGGTGGCTCACAGCACTCAGGAGGCTGAGGCAGGAAGATCGCTGCAAGTTCAAAGCCAGACTGGGTTACATAGCGAGACCCTGTCTCAAAAAACCAAAAATCCACAAAGTTCTTTTAGCATTTTTCTATCATATAAAAGAAAATAGATTTTCAAACATACCGATTGTGCAGGCTGCAGACTTCTTAAATGTACTTACTGCTTCTGGAGGTTTGTTTGCTTTATTTTATGGGATTTTCCGCAAACATGGTAAACCCTGCGGCCTTCAAGGCCTGGCTTCTTCCCTCCTCCAGAAGGAACAAAGGCCATTCCATATTTTTCCAGCAAGAGGCTGGATGGCGTGATGAGTGGACACCAGGCTTCCCTCCTGACTTCATGTCCACGCCTGTGCTGACATTTTGTGTTTTACTGGGCAGCTCTGAAACTTCCCTGGGGTGTGTTAAGATGGCTATGGACCCCCCCCCCCCCTTCTTGTGTTTATTTTGTTTTGAAGCCTCTTCATTTCCTGGGTCTAAGAGTTGCTGTTTTCATCGTTCCAGAAAACCAGCAGGCACGCACCTTTGATGCCCCTTCCGTTTCTGGCTGCCTCTGTGGTTGGTGATGGCATCGGATTCTTCACGTGTGTTCCCGCCTCGGCCTCTCCTTGGGGTTGTGCTCCTCTCCTCAGGCCTGAGTTCTGCCTGTTTCCTGTTGGGTTTTGGCCTGGGGGTTGAACCCACACCGAACTGCACCCCAGCCCTCTTTACCTTGTACTTTGAGACCCCAGGAGACCAGGTGTCACCCAGGCTAGGCCTCAACGTTCCATTTTCCTGCTTTGGCTTCCCAGGGTGTCTTTCTTCAAAAACAATTCCTTTCATGTTTACTGCTCCCTTCATTTTTACCTTTTTGACTTTTCATTTTGAAAAAATTGCAGTTACAGGAAAATTTCCAGGATGGGGTACAGCACCCCATCTTGCCCGGCCGGTCTCCTCCAGATGGGGATAAACAGGGGACAGCTGGTGTCACCTGGGCCTGCTGGGCCTGCTGCACAGTCCAGCACCATCACAGGTCCATGTCCTGTCCCTCTATTCACCTCCTGCCTGGACGGTCCATCTCTCCCCACAGTAGGACCGAGACTATCTGGGGAGAACCAGCCATGACTCGGAATGAGTCCCTGGCCTTGGGCTCTGATGGTTCTGGGATCAAGTTCAGGCCACTGCAGAAGGGACGTGTGCAGAGCCCCTGACCTGTGACACCCAGGCTTCTCTGCGAGGAGGTCACTGTTCCCTCCTCCCCACCTGACTGTCACAGACTCTGCGGATAGGGCTTCGGAGGACGCGAACCCTGGTCTTGTCCTTTGCTCTTCTAGTCTCAGCGTTGTGGTCATCACTTCCGCTGGGCACTGTGTTCCCTCCCTCCCTCTCTCCCTTCCTCCTCCTCGGGACCCCCGGGAGTGGATTTCTCTGCCTGCCCCGCTGAGGCTTTAGCTCCTCACTGTACACACCCATCCGGCTCTTCTCCGAGTCTGCACCATTGTCTCTTCCAGGCTCCAGGTTCCAACCTCTCTCTGGTGCTTCAGGGCTCTGGGTCTGAGGCCAGAGTGTCGGGGCCTGCTGTCCAAGGTTGTCACTGCCTTCGCCTGTGGGTTGAGGAGTTTCTTTGTAAAACTGTGGCCTGTCCATTGATCTGGGAACTCTACTGTGATGCTTTTAGTTTGGTTGGTTCCTCTGAGACAGGGTCTCACTATGGAGCCCAGGCTGGCCTTGGTCTTGTGGTGATCCTCCTGCTTCAGCCTCCCGACTGAGTGCTAGCATGTCAGGCGAGCATGACCACACCCAGACCACGCGGTCCTCAGACGCTTAGAGGCCTTAAGACAAGGTGTCTGGAAGGGACTTGCTTTTTAAACTTTATTTCCCGGTCTTCTTGGGCATCACACACCTGCTCCATTCAGCTTCTGTTGAGGGGCGGGGTTGGGGGGCCGCACAGGTGGTAGCCCTGGATTGAGTGGGCCTTCATTCTTGTGAGTCTCCTTTTCTCTGCCCAGCTCCAAGTTTAGTTTAGGACAATCGCTGGCTCTGTCCTCTGCCTCATGGGTGCTGCCCTGGCCCCTGTGGGCACAGCAGTTGGGGACCCAAGCTTCCGGCTGGAGCTCTTGGCTTGGTTGTGAGGGACCCCACACCCTACCCTGTCTTGCCCCATGGGAGGGGACAGCCAAGGTCCCAGGGCAGCGAGGGGACAGCACTGAGGGCCCAGCCCGGAAGCGTCAGCCCTGTGGACTTGGCCACCACTGGGCATCGCAGGTGCTCAGAGACAGGAAGCTGGTGCTTTAAAGCACCGTAAACCAGCCCAGAGCTGGAGGTGACCCCTCTGGAGCTGTTCCGTGTCACGTCACTGTGCTCTGCCACCCCAGATGCCCAGGACAGGCCAGTGTAGCTGTAGCTGCAGCACCCTCTTCTCCTTCCCTGTCCTGTCCTGACCCATCCTTGGGGCCCTGTAGCTGCCAATACCCCCTCCCTCGTGTGCCCTCTGTCCTGCCTCCTCCTGTGCTCAGCAGCCCGGCCTGGGCCCTTTCCCTTGATTGTTCTCTGTGCCCTGCTACCTGCTGGCTCGGGGTCCCGGATGTGGGAACCTGCGGTTTAAATCCCACCCCTGTAGCCTGAGGGACAGCAGCATGGGCCCTGGAAGCAGCTCAGGGCAGCTGACGTGAGCAGGGGGACCCTGGCCGTGGCGGGTCAACAGGGAGGACAGGAAGCCCAGGGCCTAGGAGCAGGTCGCTGCCTGTTGGCTCAGGGCAACTTCCTGGAGCCAGGCAGTGTTGCTTTTGTCTCCAGCACTGTGCCACTCCCAGGAAGAAGGAGGCATCCTCCTCCTCCTCCTCGTCCTCCTCCTCCTCCTGCTGCTCCTGTTCCTCCTCCGCAGGGCCTGCTGGGCAGCCCCCAGGGTGTGTGGCTCAGCCCTGTCTGCCCAAGGGCAGGACCTTTCCCTGCTGACTCCTGTCTGGGCTCCAAAAGCTCTGTATGGCTCTGTGTCTCTGTGCCTTCCAGAGGCTTGGAGCTGACACAGGGCGGATCTGGGCTGTACATGGGGTGTGGCACAGCCAAAGCCCCTCCTGCCTCTCCGGGTGTGTTAAGGCCCTTAGCCTTAGGAAGCCAGCTGTCCCACTGGCCTTCTCCTTGCTCTATAACCAGCTTGCTGGGCACAGGAGGAGGGTAAGCCTTTAATTCTCACTCAAGTGTGAAAGACTGAGAAGGCTATGATAAGGACTACCTCGGGGGACAGAACCCCACTGAGTGTGGAAACCAGTTTCTTGAACAGCAGGAAGTTCTGGACTTAATTCTGATGTTTAATTTTTAATTACTGGTCCTGGGGCAACTCTGCAGGGGACAGTGTTGAGCCCTCTGCCCTCTATAAGACTTCCTGGGTCAGGGTCTCCTGACAGCTGCTCACCAGTGCCCCCTCCAGAGACCAAGGCAGGGGTTGGGTTTGGGTTCAAGGAGACCCCAGGGTTGGGTTCAAGGAGCCCCTCGGTGGGCTGCAGGCGAGGCCCATGTCCAGATGACCGAGCTGAAGCCATGTCCCATGTCGACCTGGAGGAGGAAACTGCAGCCCAGGGTGGGACTCCCCTTCGCCTTGGCCTTTGGACACGGTCACCCACACACCTGCGTCAGCCTCTGCGGGGTGGGCGTGGTGCAGCCCCACCTGGTCGTGAACAACACTCCTGGGGCAACTGCTGTGAAGGGTTCCTGGGGTCCCAGCCCTGAGTGCAAGGCCAGCCCTGTCCAGCAGGGGCCTCTCCCCAGTGGGCTACACCTCATAGCACGGCCGGGGCACCACAGGTGAACCCAAGCTGCGAGGGGAGGAGTGCAGCTGGCCTCACTTACAGCCAAGCGTGAGTCCAGGGCGTCCGCATCCAGCCAGCCCCACTGCGGGGACCCTGGGACCCCGACACAGGGCCCCTGCACCCCGCTCCTCGCAGAGCCCTCTACAGCCTGGTGTCCACACCCCCCTGGACCTCCATGGACATTGCTGGAGAGAAGATAGTCACACCCTCGCCCTCCAACTGGGGTCCCATGGCCCATGGGCCAGAAACCCCAGCAGAGGATCAACCCAAGACCCTACGGGTGGCCCAGAAGTCCTGGCCACCTTCCTTGGGTGGTCACTGAGGCACAGGGCAGCAGAGAGGCTTAGGGAGGAAATCAGCCGGGAGAGTCTTAAACTAAAACTAGAAGTTCCATTCAACCTGCCATTTCCCTTCTTGGTGTCTTCCCTAAGGAGTTAAAGTCCTCACATTCCGGAGACCCGAGAACACCCAGGTTTACAGCAGCACAGCTCACAGCAGCTCGGTCTCGGAAGCCGCCTCTGTGTGGATCAACAGCGAAGGAATACAACGGGGCATTTACACAGCATGGAGTACTACTCTGCCATAAAGAAGGACAAACATGAGTCTTTTGGAGGAAAATAGAGGCCCCCGGGGCCATGATGCCAAGGGAAGTAAAGCAGACAGGCACACTTAACCGTGTGTGGCTTCTGTCCCATGAGACACCCGAAGCAAGAATAAAGAGCAGAGTGGAAGGTAGAGAGTGAGAGTGGGTCTCCCCCAAAGGGAAGGGGACAGAGGCTGGAGGGGGGAGGGAGGGGCTGGGCCGGGCTGCAGGGAGGCGTGGGGCTGGGTTCTGTGTTCTAGCCAGCACCACACATGAATGCGGACATCATGTACTGCAAACACTGCTCATAAAAAGAAAAAGAAAAATTCATTACCAATAGAGAGAGAGAGAGAGAGAGAGAGAGACAGACAGACAGACAGACAGACAGGCAGACAGACAGATGCAAGGAAAGTGGGCAGTGTCCACTCCCCGGCCCCAGACCTGTCTCACCTCACCACATGCCCTGGGCTGGACCCACACTCATGGACTCCTCCTGCCTCTGCCTCCGCAGGTGCCACCAGGCCCAGCTGTTTTTCTTTAATTCCACTGAGTGGTGTTTGTTTTGTTTTTTTTAAGCTATTCCTTTTTTTAAATTGCCCAATTGGCCGATGACCACGCTCTCTGTGTGCAGTTGAGGCACGTACACACCACGTGTCTCAATTCTTTTCCTACCTGCTCTCCCCCCTTCCCTCCCTACCCGGCTTTGTCCCCTTTCTCCGGGACAGGTCTGTCTGCCCGCTCTTTCCCTTTCAGGAAATAAACAGCCCGGCTCCGGCCAGCCAGCGAGAACTGCCCTGCTTTGAACTGGAAACACCACTACCCAAGCCAGAACGCCAGGAGGGAAACGACAGCTGTCATTTCCAGAGACTAGGGTGTCCCAGAGCAAGGCGAGCTCTGCTGTGCACACCCCCAGGCGGGCCGGGGCTGGGGGGCGTTCCTCTCAGGGCATATGCTGCCTCCCAAGCTCGGTGCACAGAGTCTGCCTGTAACTTCCTGTAGTTTTAAAAATATATTCTCTGACCCCCAAGGCAAGCCTCTAAACGCTGCCAGCATCACATTCTGTTTAGCAACCTGGGACCGGGGATGTAGCTCAGTGGCACCACACCTGCCTGGCAAGCATGAGGTCCTGAGTTCGGTTCCTGGTGCATCAGGCTGGGCACTGCGGATAATGCCGTGGGCCATCTCCATGGTGACGTCCGTCTGCAGGGAGCTGGATGGCTAGGGCTCCGGGCCTTGAGCTTTGGGACACTGGGCACAGCAGTCTCATCTGTAACTCTGGTCTGAGCCCCTGCTCCCCTTAGGTCCTGTTATTCTGGGGCTGTGACACTGCAATGGAGCGAAGACAGCGCTGTCCTGGGTCACCATGGACAGGGCCCTCTTGTTCCCCTGGGGCGGAGACCTCGATGTTGGGCCTCAGTAGCCTGTGATGGGGAAGGGTGCGAATGTGAGTGCATATGTGTGCATGTGCGTGTGTAAGAGGGAGTTAGGATGACACCCTGAGACACAGCCTATTCTGCAGTGAGAGGAAGTCGGGTCCCCACCCCCATGGGGGGTACAGACCGGATCTCAGGCCGCCTCTCCACGGGTGGGGTGGACCGAGCACAGAGAAGTCTGTGCTAGAAAACAGGGACCCAGAGGGGCGCAGCAGGGTCCCAGCCTGGGTCTGCCTCTGGGCTAGGGCCCCAGGGAGCCAGCTGTCTGTGGGTGCCTCATTTTCCCCATAGGTGAGCTCACTGAGCATCTCTGTCCTCAGCGACCAGCAGGGCCCGGGTGACCCTCTCAGGGAACCATGAATTGTCAGCAGGGCCCTGAGAAAATGCTGTAGCTGCAAAGCCTGGCTTGGGACTTGGTGGCCTCCCATGGTGACCGCGGTCCCCTGTTGCTAGTGACCCTCCAACAACACGACACTGATGCCGGTAAAGCAACCTGGAGGAAACAAATCGTATTCCTCTTTCTCTGTGGTTACAGTGACGTGATGGCTTTTGGGTGTGCAGAGAGGGGACCTTGGCCAGCAGTATCCCCCAGGTGGTGCACGAAGACAGGCTGGCTGTCAGATGAGGAGGACCCCCAGGCCGCCCTGTTGCCTGCCGTGGCTTCCTGTGGCTGCTTTAACATGTAGGTCCTGGGTTAAAGCCCACCCACGTCACCTCGTGAGTCACCATCTGGTCTCACGTGGTCTCACCCTGAGTCCCGCCACTGAGTCTTCCTTCCCACTCCACCTCAGGTCATTAATTCCAGAAAGAAGCCCTGCCCAGTGCAGGGCTTCCCGCAGTGAACCAAAGTCCTGGGTTCCCAAGGAAGCCAGCAGCTACCCTGCGCTCTGGTCACTGCCCAGGGCCTGATCGAGAGCTTGGTGCCAAATCATTTTACAGCTGCACACGTGTGAGATCTGGCAGGTTACGTGTTTTCATCTGTCCAAAGTCCCCAGGGAGGAGCACAACTCCCAGGAGGCTTCTGAGCTGGCACAAAACCCTCTGGCCGGCTGTCTGGTCCTGACGTGAAAAGCAGAACAAGGCCAAATATAAGTAAGGCAAGGTAGTTGTAATCCCAGGACTCAGGAGGATGAGGCAGGAGGATTGCTGTGCGTTCAGGGTCAGCCTGGGCTACAGTGCCTGCCTAGAACACACAGCAAGACCCGTTTAGAAAAATACCAAAAAATTCTCTAGATTGTCCAATTTGCCCCCAGTTAGTGTGATTTGGTGAACACAAGCTCATTGTGAAAAATGAGTGTTAGATCTTTGTGCCTTCTAAAGGGCTTGGGCTAGTTTGCCTCTTTAAGGCTTTCACCCTTCTCTTTGTCTGTTCTTTGTCTTTGGCCCAGGGAACCCCCAATTCAGCGGGTGCTGGGGACATCTGCAAATTCCCTCACACTCATCACCCAGACAGAGTCTCAGGCCCAGCCCCTGGCAGGGACACTTAGTGGACATTTCCGATGCCCACATGGATCCACCTGCTCCTCCAGGCTTTGGAGGAGCACCGACCTGCGGTTCCTTCTGGGAGTCTGTGGCTTGTCTGTGACCACAGGGCCCCGCTCTGCATTCAGTCCCAGCCACGCCTCCTTTTAATTGTAGAGAACTGCTGGGTGGTATGGTGTGCAGGTCTTCTCACCTTGCCTTGCCTCTCTTCCTCTGGAACGCCTCTGAGATTTGGATGTGGGAGGCTCTTCCTTTACTCTTTGTGTTGTTTCAGCTCCTTCCGTATTATTTTTCGCTTCTTTGCCTTTCCTGTTAGCACTACTTTCTTAGTACAATCTTTCATTAATTCTCTCTTCAACTCTGTCTACTCTTCAGGGTTCTACTGCTCATGAAGCTGTTTGTTCTGATCTTTACAGTTTTTCCAGGATTTCTACTTAATCATTTTTCTTTTCCTTTTCCTCTTCCCCCACTTCCTCTCTTTCTTCCTCCCCACTTTTTTGCAGAACTGGGCATCGACCCCAGGGCCTCACACATGCTGGTCAAACCTTTCTTCACTGGACTGCATCCCTAGTTCTTCCCTCTTTTTGATTTTTAGCTGCCCTGTGGTTTCACAGTGTCCTTTGGTTGTTTACCGTTGTCCTTGGCCTGTGTCTTTGAGAATGACATACAATTAAACAACCCCTTTGATGTTTGCCCTGTTATTCAGTTTTCTTCAGGGACTTTCTCCAACTGGCTGCACCTTCTCCAATTGGCTGTACTCTTCTCTTGGGCTCTGAAGTGCTGTCGTAAGGTCACCTGTCATTTGGTTTGTTCCCAGCTGCTCTTCTTTCTCTTACCCCCTGTGCCTGGCGGCCCCGCCCTGGCCCCTCCTGAGGTCAGGTGAGCAGTCATCCAAGGGGATCCAGGCTTGCAGTCACTGCTGCACCCTGTTCCAAGGGAGGGCGGCCCCCAGCTCCAGCACGCGTGGGGGTGTGGGTGTTCTTCACCCCTGGAGGGAGGTCCTGCTGGTGCCACTACTGCTAGGCCTGAAGATGGGAGTCCTGAGCCTTCTGTCCCCTTCCATTGCTAAACTAAAACAGTTTTCTCAGACGAGCTTTGCACATAAAGTGTGTGCATGTGTGTGTGCGTGTGTGTGCAGGTGTGCACGTGGGGATACTTTTAAACACATAAAGCAGAAAATACGATTCAAGGTGACTCTAAAATAAGGAGATTTTCTGGGCGTGGTAGCACTTGTCTGTAGTCCCAGCACTGTGGGAGGCTGAGTCAGAAGGGTCAAGACTTTGAGCCCAACCTGGGCAACTTAGTGACTTAGCAAGCCCTTGTTTCAAAACAAAAACTCAACATGCTAGAGTACAGCTCAGTGTGAAAGCCCTGGGTTCAATCACCAATAGCCATGCCCCAAAAGAAAAGGAAAGAAAAAAAAAAAAAGAAAAGAGAAAAGGGGATTTTTGCATGCAACACTCAGGAGAGAGGGGAGGGGCCACTTCTCCAGAGAGCAGCTCGTCCTTTCCAGGGCCCCTTGCCCGCCTCCTTTGGTGTTCATTGGCCTTCATTGCCCACCTGTCCATTTCTGAGCCAAACCCTATGCACTAGGAAAATGAGATGCGTTGATTGGCTTAGACTTTGAATTTCTGACCAATTGCTAATGAAGGAAGCAGAGCTTTCTCTGATTGGTTGACACTGTCTGGTCCTGAGATCTATCCTCCAATCACAGGGGTGCTGCTTCGGGAGGCGTGACTAGGAAACCTCCCCATTTCCATGAGAGTATCCTGAAGCTGGCTGCGTTTCCATGATGATGGCCACCTTGCTCCTTGTCCTTTCCGTTCTGGCTAAGGCTAAGAACGCTTTCTGGTCGCATCCTGACTTAGAGTGCAGTGTGGTTGAAAACGCAGGATGAGGTGTGTGTGTGCGTGCACCTGTGCCTGTGTGTTTGGCGTGTATATCTAGGAGCTGAACATGCGTGTGTTTGGCACCACGAGGATGCACACATGGGGAGTGCATACGTGTGTGCATGACTGCACACACTTCCTTGTGCCTTTGTTCCCAGCACCTGGAAATGAGAAGTCACTTAGGATTTACACAGCAACCAAGCCACACTCCGTCTTGACCATGGTGAGTTTAGTCAGAGCAGAAGACCCTGGTCTGCAGGCTGTGGTTCTGTGTTACTCTCGGGAAAGAGCTGCCTGGTAAGGGAATGGGGGAAGTTAACTACCACCCTTCCCTAAGGGTTCGAGTGAATAATTGATCTACAGAAGCATTAGAAGAAAATTCAAACTCACAACAGTGCGATGATGGACAGCCCTCTGGGGGTAACAGGTGACCCTGGACTTTAGGGCTGTCAGTCTGCCAAGCTTTCCCCCATGAGACCTGTGCAGCAGGGACTTAAAAGCCACCTCAGCCCTGTTGGGTTGAGCCCATCCCATCTGGAACCTTTGGGACCAATGAGCCGTGATGGGTTGACTTATTAGAAAATTCTAGACCAGCAAAGCCTACGGATGCCTCACACTTGGGTCAATCACAAAACTCAGGGCAGAGCAAGTTGACAGTGATGAGACTCAGGTCAGCCCTGAGCGGGAGCCACTGCCATTGCCACCTAACACTCTTCAGGGTCTCCTTCCAGGGGCCAAGGTTCCCCCAAAGCCCTCCTCCAGAGGACGGGGTTGTCCTACATTTAAGTTCCTGTGGCAATCCCTCTTCTTATGAGGCACGCTCTACTTTTTAACACAGTGTTTTTAGTGTGAAATATACCACTGCCCCTCCCCCAGCAAGTCTATCTTTCCAGCAGCCCAGTAGCCTGAAGTGACCGGGCCAGCTCAGGTGAGTCACCAAGGAGATAAAGGAGGAAAACGCTGCCTGGCAGGGATGGAGCACCCCAGGAGAGGCGGGACCTGGCATTCAGAGGCACTGGGCCTTAAGGAAGCAAAGCCTTCAAAATCGGGCAGGCAGGAGCACGGCTGTGCTGTGTCAATTCACCTGCGAGGAGGAAAAGGGAGCAGGGTTCTAACGTTACATAAACAGAGACTCACAGCTGGGGACACCGTTCCGGGGACAGCATTCTCTGGGAGGACAGTCAGCCAGCAAGAAGGTAGCGTTTCGGTGACTTGGACACCAGTGACAGCAGGTGTG